TTGTAAAAACTTCAATTGAATTTCAATAAAGTTAAAGGCATGGCCTCACCGTTAATATTTAAAAAAAAAAAAATAATATAGTAGTTAAAAGATAATTACAGTAACTGCAAGTGTTAGATAACTATAATATATATATATAATTAGATCAGCTATATATAAAACATAACAGGTTTTAATAATTTTTTGTCAAAAATAAAGTAATTTTAAAAATACTGATAAGGATTGAAAATTTAAATAGGTTATGCTTTAAAGATATTTTTGTAATACAAGTTGGATAATATATGCAAAAAATTTAAATAGTAAGATCTGTAGTTGGCTTGCAAGTATAACATCTGAGAGTTTTGCTAGAATTATTTTTTCTAAAAATAGATTTATTTATGTTTTTCCTAATAAAAATCCTATGTAATAATGACTTATATGACCATTTTACTAGCAAAGATTCTATCTAATATAGAACTTATATGGCAATATATAAGCAGATTACTTAAATTAGGTACCAAAAGTAAATATGTAATTAGCTGCAACCTTCAATATACAAGAACTCTAGAAACACCTGTGTCCTATACTTGAATAAAAATCATTTCCCAAAAACAGAGACTTTAACATTAAAAAACATTACATTATTAATTTTTTTATATAGTAAACAATTTAAATAAGTAATTTTCTTTTTATTATAACTTTTTTTTCTATATAATAATTTTATCCAAAATTTTGCAAGTTTATACATCAAGGTTACACCAAAACATTAGCGTAATAGCACAAAAAATACTTAATTTTGATTGGCTAATTAATAATTATATAAAAAGTTTTATTTTTTTAATTTTTTTTTAAAAAAATAAACTAACTTTGACCTTTTTTGAAAAAATATTTAATCAAAACTAAATATAATTTTTTTTATAAATATATACAAATATTAAGTATATTTATTAGATTGCAAGTTAATATGTAAAAATTTGAGTTATTACATTTTAATTCAAATGTATCAGGTTGGTGTATCACGCTTAATGAAATTACCAATATACCATTATAAATCTGATTTTCGGTTCGGTAAAACACTACTTTAATGCCCACTAAAACACTATGGCTAGGATACCTTATTTTTCCATGGCCGACGCTTGGGCTGCATACCTAGTTATATTATTAAATTGGAAATTAAATATCTTAATATGATAAGTATTACGTTATACAAAGTACCAGACTTACAAAAGCTCTGCCAGCATTATTGTATCGTTTGATTTGAATGTACGATTCGAATTGTAACTCCTAAATCGCCGAAAACAAAATTACAATTACGTAAAATTACTGAAATTTAACAACTCTAAGCAGAAGAAGCATAAAAATTCCACTATTACGTGACAGTCGACAGCAAACCAACCAATAATGTGCTATGATTTGGTTTAATGTAGCACAATCAGGAAAATTCAAAAATGAACGTTTATTTCGTTTATTTCTCAAAAATTTGCATAAGAAAACACCTTCTATGCATTATTTAACAAAAAGGTTTCTTTGGCGATTTTACTATGAAGTCACTCTAACATCAAACCTTAACATAGACTCTAAAGAAATTTCGATTATCATATGGCAGTAGAATTTTATGACGATACTGGGGAAGATGTCAAAGTTATTAGATTCAAAAACAATGATCTGGGTTTATAGATAGTAGGGTTAGTGATTCGAGCTTTGCTTTAGTAGTGAGCACCACTTTTGCCTTACTCTATATATGTCTATCTATCTTTTATACAATAAATCATTTGTATTTACCGATTTATATGAATTTTTTCCTTAATATTATAAAATAACGAATTACAAATTGTGTGATTTGATTGAAAAAACCCCTGGTTTTTGTTAGTTAAATTTTTATCAGAATTTTACCATATTTAATGTTAATACTAAAAAAAAAAATTACTTTATTTTAACTTAAAACTTTTAATTACAATTGATTTATTCTATTATTTAGCATCTTATAATTTATATTAAGCTTTATTCTCAGAATTTAGGCATATGTAGAATGAAGTCAGATTCGTCAGAAAATATCCGTTTTATTGGAAAACTAATTAACACTAATTACATAGACATCACGAATAAGCTTGAATCCGAACAGAGGTTCTATTAACGATATATTACCTATTATTATTGCTTATTGTCAAAATTAATATGTACATAATACAAATTACTTTTTTTTTTAAAAAAAAAAGAATTAATTTTATTTTAAAAAATAAATAAATATATATATTGAAAATTTATTATCTAATATATATTATAAAAGGTATAAAATAGCACGCTTATTTTGGTGCGATCAAGCCAGTGTAGTTACTACTTGCACAACTTGTAATAAGTTCTAAAAGAATACATAAAGTTATTACTAACTAGATAAGAAACGAGAATTTGATAATGTTTAATGTATTTATTACTTACCACTGACTTGGGGTGATTTAGATGAAGTTAAATATTCAACTGCCACTGGACATTTAAAACAGCTGTAATTGGTTTTTTTTGAAAACAATTATTTATATAGTTAGATAACTAATGATATTCATATATAATTGTAGAAATTTTTACCTTGCATATCCATTAATGAAGGACTGTTGGCATGTACACTTTAGGGTAATTTCTGTAGGCACATTATCAAGCGTTTCCGTAGTAGAATTGGTACAAGAAAGAATGTATGAATGAGCTGCTACACATGCAGTACAATCGGGACTTGTAGTTGTAGTTGTGTCTGCATATATCATCGTGGTTGTAATCGCCAAAAACGCGAGGATTGAGACAAAGAGTAAAGTAAATTTGAACATTTTTTTAAAAAAATATGTTATTAAGAAAAAAAAAACACTCTAAATATAGTAAATAATACAAAAAAAGTTGAGTTTATTCAAAGCAATGTCAAATTTTATAGATTGCTTATTTAAGTTCTCCGACTGAAGAAAGTTTAAATATTGTTCTTTGTAATCAATATTTTATGGCTTAAAATGCTTAGCAGTTAAGATCTTCAACAAGGTGAACGACTAAAAACAACGCCCATTACACACACGGGATTTTCATGACGATGATCCATATTTTTTATAGGTGATTGCTTTGACTAGCATTATAAAACTGATTCTAATTATAATAATAACACTAATCTTGCCCTAATTTTAACCAACCGATATTTGAGGCATAACATAATGTAAATAAAAAGATTTAACGTATTGGAAAATTTTCTAATTATATATACAACAATGCGGTAACAATATTGATGGAGAATCAAACGATGATCTGCCATTATGGCTTATCATACATTGCAATGAATTTTGGAATTCTGAAACAAAAAACAAGCTCATTATATAAAATTATTATACTTTCTTAAAAATCCATCATACTAAAACGTTGAGTTGTAGTTTATTGTTCAAAGCCTCCTAGCGTAATCACCAAAACCATCCATGTACTGTACTCTTAACATCAGATTTCTATTCAGAAATGTAATTCACGATTATTAATTATAACTAAATGAGAAAAGACAATGAAAACGCATACATGTGAATATAAGAATATTTTTTAAATGGAATTTTATTATAAAAATTTTGACATCAGAAAATATAATTAATAAATTCATATTATCAAAATTCAATTGAGAGAATTGTAACTTTTCGAGTCTGATTCATTTTTTTTTTATAAAAAAAAAAAAAATTATAAAATGATTTTAAATGATTATGAAGCCATAAATTTATCGAGTTATTGAGTTATTATCAGATGCGATTTTTCGCCAGCAAAAAGAATTCTTTAGTTATCGGATAAAAAAATTTAATTCGTTTGTCAAAATATCAATTCATAATTTTTTTTTAGGCCGTTTAAAGTTGATTAGCTGGTTTATGTCAATACATTTTGCTCAGTCGCGGACCCCAGAATATTTGGCTAAATTCCATTGCTCATCTGTATTGTGATTGGACGGTTATCTGAGAGCACGTCTGAAATCTGTAACAGGTTATGTCGATAACCAAATAGAAAGAGATAAAGGTCAGAATTAAGCGTAGGCTTTAATTTATTTGATATTCGATATTTAATATATTTAAATATATTTAAGTATATTGTAACGATACCGGGTGGAATTTCCCTAGAATTCCCTATTCATAGGGTAGCCGTGGGTTGTTCGAGTAACGTCGGACGTCACAACACTCGAAAGAGGCGTTGGATTTGGCGAGTGTATAATATATATTATTGTTTAATTATGCGATCGATCTTTAATAAATTATCGACGATCCTGTTTTAGATCGCGACAATATTTAAATATATTAAATGTACTCATATGACTAAAATTTCGTACTGAAAATTTTTATTTAGAAGTTACACTGTGATTATCATATTAAGATCTTGGTTATTTACGATTCTTCTGTTTTCTCAATACTAAAAATTTTTATTAGATCTCGATTTTTACTATCTGTTATAATAATTCTTTGCTAATTTTTCAAATAGATGTGCAGTCCTAACAGTCAATAGTTTAGAATAAGACGTTATAAATACCAATGTTGTGTCTCTACGAGTGAAACTGTAGTGTAATTTTCTTCATTTATAAAACGAAAATAAGCAATTTTACTAACAAATTTTTTTTTTTTTTTTTTTAAAAAAAAAAAAAAAAAAAAAGGCAGTTCCGAATCCTTTTTAAAATAGTAGTTTAAAATTTTTTTCATGTCATAATAAAGAAATAGCTCTATAGCTTCGTTTGTAAAGGCATAATTTTGGTCTTTACAAAAATTTATTCTAAACTATTGGCCTGCACATCTCGCAAAGAATTATTATAGCACATAGTAAAAATCGTGATAATAAATTTTTTACAACTAATGATTAAACAAATCGAAGATCTATACTATTTGGCACGAGGGTACTTTATAATAGTTGTTAGAGGCCTGCATTGGGTCCCGCAGCCCGGCCCGGCCGGGCCGGGCTGAAGAAAAAATTTAATATATGCGGGCCGGGCTGGCAAAAAAATAATAACTCAAAATGCGGGCCGGGCCGGGCCTCAAAAATAGGCAATTCGTAGTAGAGATGGGCAAGGTAATTACTTATTACGTAAAAAGTTAAATCACACTATGCGCCAATTTAGCATGTTATTGGTTGTAAGTATATATTATTAGTAAATTGTCGCATAATGTGATTTGATTTTTTACGTAATAAGTAATTACCTTGCCCATCTCTAATTCGCAGGCCCCTAATAGTTGTATCCCCTGTAATCCATATTATACACTTTTCATGTATTTTTTATAATATTTTATTTTAAAAAGCGAAGCATGGTAGAAACCTTTCCATATATGAATTTTCATTTAATTATATCTTTCGTTTAATTAGAATAAGATACATCAATAAAAATAAGTACATGAAAAGTTTCATGTGGATTGAATTGATAATTAATATATAGATATCCAACTTTATATAGCAAAACTCGACTTTGGGGATATAAACATTACTAGATATTTATATCTTTTTTTTAACCCTTAACATGATTGATGTAGGCGTATAATTATCTTTATTTTTTAATTATTATTTTTTTAATTCTTGATGTCTAATAACGCCCATAAGCATTATTTCAATTTGACCTAAATTAAGCTTAATTCACTTAATTAACTTAATTCGCTTAATTCAGGTCAGAATTCACTTATTTAATTTAGGTTAAAATTCGTAATTAAACCCCAGTGCATTATTACGCGAAAATATGGTTAACTGCTGAATGGTCGTTCGTTTGTATTATTATATTTATTCAAACATGTGTAAATTCATTTTCTTATTCTTATTTAAGTTTACTACTCTGAACCAAACCCTGAATTCAATAATCTGATGCAAAATCAAATAGATAGACGGAGAATCCGTGTTACCTGCCGATCGTACGTACCACCCCTGTTTGATAGTCAGGCATAAAGGTCATATGTGACATTAGAGAGTTAGTAGGATTTATTAAATAAAGTGTATATAGAGCATTAATTGGTTTTAAGAAATAAATGATATTAATGCGTAATACAAATAATAACACAAGTAGCATAAAAGGAATATAAGGCGTTAAGTATTAATGCTACGTATATATTAATGCTATATATTATTATTACAGTATCTCTATATATGAGCAGTATTCACACCATTTGTAATCAATATTGACCATAACATTTTATTATAATAAATAAAAGATACTTACTTTAATCGATTCTAAAAATCAAACACGTGTGTTCTCATATTACCAAATCACTATACAAACGCAAGTTTCATATCATTGTTTTCATGTAACTCCTTGTTAGCCTTGTTAGTGTTAACCTCGATTTCCGAGGTTAACACCGGTGTAAGGTTGTTCACTACGTATGTCAATAATTAACTGTATTATGTACTAAACTAATATCATTTGTTTGTCAATCAACAGTCTAACAATTTCTATTGACGACGACAATGGGTATTACCATTATATAGCAGTATACTGTAGTGATAGATTAAAATAATACCCCGGGTATATTTTTATTGGTTAATATACAATGAGATCCTTGGTATAAAATACGATTATTTATATTTGATTATTAATATACATTATTAAGATTATGCAGTATATATGAATACGTAGTAATTTATGTTTATATTCTATTATAAATAAATATATATTTATTTATTCATTTATTTATTTAGTTTTAATTAATTGTTATATTTAATTATCAATGAAAATTTCATTTAAAATTTTAATTCGTTAAAGCTAGGGTCCAATAGTGTATCAAATTATTTAACGTAATTGGTAAATTTTTGTTTAAGCCACATATAATAGTTACCGTTATTCATTGTTAAAATTTTTTTTCAATAATTAAAGACTTTAAACGGATACGTACGTACGTAATCTGGAGTTTTAGAAATTGAAAAAAAAAATTTATTGGTACGTACCAAAAATATAAGAAAATGACATCGGGGAAATTACGAATTAATTATTATTTTATTTACGTACTCCTGTAAATTATATTACGTATTAGATGCAACCTCCCTGATTAAAGGGTAATGGTAAGTTTTTAGGCAATTTATAGATTTATAATTTAAATAAAATGCCATATTAGTAATTTCATATATGCACATCATATACGAAAAAAACTTGTATAATAAATCATTAATAATATAAATAATAAATATGTCAATTTTGACATTTCAGTGTTTATTATTAATATTATTACACGTGAGATCAATTTTGCAAAACATGTACAGGTGATAGAGTACAAATTATAAAGATTTTTATATGTTATACAACCAATCCATTTAAAATACTAAAAAAATCAAACAAGAGAAAAGTCCTGGAAAAATTTGTTACACATTAATTTACTTCTTGTTGAACAAAGTTGTAATGAATGTAATGAAATGTAATGAAATATAATTAAATCGTTTAAAAATCCTGTATTATTAAGTTATCCAATATGTAATACGAAAGTAGGTTCTAGCCTTTAAAACACAAAAGAATTAATAGAATATTAGTATAATAAGTTACAAGCTTCACGTGAGCAAGTAATTTAATACAAAGTATACATACGTACGTATGTACGTAATGGTTATGATAAATGATGCGAATAAAAGGATATTTTCTGTAGAGTTTTATTTCGTGCATATCGATATGTACATACGTATGTACGTATACTTGAAACAGGGCTATGATATGCTTTATGCTAAAAAAGACAAAAAAACAATTTGACATTTAGAGTATGCGGGGGGTAACTCTGAAATTAATAAAGTAATTCTGCAGGGAAGAATATCAATAGGGTCCGCAGATGTACTGCAGGTATGTATCTGAAGAGGCAACTATACATATGGTCAAACATCGTGCACCAAAACCATAGATATGATAAGGCACAAATGTTATGTATTACGTATGAAAAAGTAAGTGAACATGCTTTATGGTTAGAGTTCTTAATTGGCTCATCGATATGCATTTAGTGAGCAAACAAACCAAAGGGTATGCTGTCATCATGTGTAAAGGTGCATTTAGGAAGTTAACAGCTTGTTGCTACCATTTTACGTATGTACTTTGATACAAAATTGTAGTGATGTTATCTTACGTAGTAACTATGCATTTATTAATTTGCGGCTGTGATAAAAATAATTATCTATTTTCTCTACAGAAATTAAATTTTTTCTAATTGAAGTTTATTGATATGCTATCACTTTGGAGCAAAGTTCCCGATAATACTTGGAGTAGAACAAGAAGAAGTACTAATACAGCACAGAATCTTTTTTTTTAAAAAAAACAAATAAACCTTGACACTGATGAACTCTACTGTAAGAAGTTTCATTTCCAGAAAAGGAGACAAAGCCAGAAAGCAACAAATTATTTCATATTGCATAACGTACGAAGTAAATTCCTTATGGCATTGTTTTTGTTATTTGTTTTTTTTTTCTAACATGCTTGTTCGATCGATCTACTTAACAAAGTGCGCTAATGTTTATTATTCGTTTGTACATGTGTATTCGTTTTCTGATTTTTTAACAGAAGATCCGAAATCGGAGTACATCCAATTAAAAACAAATTCGGAAAATCCTTACTGTGGAGAGCATATATGCATACGTAGCATATATCGATATATCTGATATCAGATATGGTATATCAATATCTCGTATACGTACGTAGCTACGTAAAATGCTTTTGCTAACATAGATGTTCATAAAACAGATTAGGAATGTAAGTTAGCAAACATGTCATTTTTTATTAATATGTCGAAGATTTGGTTTAAATCTCCAATAAAATATAAAATAATAATAAAGATATTTTATAAATCTTATATACTCTTATACATAATTGATATTGATATAAATAGCATATACAACAAAGAAAAATATAATAAATTGTGAAAACAAAACGAAGACGAAACGGAAACTACAAACAATACATATATATTATATAATATGTATGTATGTATGTATGTGTAATAACGATTACTAATTCTAATAAGGAAGGGTAACAACATAACAAGGACAATAGATAATGCGACAAGGACGCCAATACGTAATATGATGTGATTTTAAAAAATCTATCTTGATAAGAGCTCTTTCTTTAAAAATTGGAATTTTTTTAAGATTGTAATTGTTCATGCTCTTCACTTTAGTTGGTCAAAGAGAACTCAATACCCGACATGAAATCTTTGACGAGACCTAATGGTTCTTGTGGTTGATTCGGTTGATTTACGGGCATTTCTGGCTCAAATAAATTTAACATGCCATTTGAAAGGTCTGCGTGAATTTGGATCGCGAAGTTGGGGATCGCATTTAAGTTTGGCTGTGCCAGATTTCGTTGTTGATTTCTTTGCAGATTTCTTTGCCGATTTCTTCTGTTTCCTCTTACTCTTATCATTTTGGAAGAGGGGGTTCCATATAAAAAATCATTCCCTTTTTATGTATTTTGAAATTGGCCATTTTATTTTAAGAATATATATTTTTATAAAATGCAAATGAAGGAACCAATAAAATAATTTTTTTTTTTTATATTGTAAAATCAAGGTTAGACTTACAGTATTTTTCCGTTTAATTGGAACTAATAGAATTTATTTGATGAATGGACTACAATTAGCCAAAACAAAATAAACAAACAAAAAATTACTTGAGAATCTTGTTGGTTCTTCTGTTAAATCATACTGTTATGTTGTACTTCATTCATCAATCTTTACCATTGTTAATTTTAATGCTAATCTATTTTTATATATTATAATTAATTATATTGCAATCTATCTTGAATACGTATAATGCAAGTTAATTAAACTGTTACTCAACAGATTTTCATAATCAGAATACATGACTCAATGGACTCGAAATTCGAAAGTTTCGAAAAAAAAAACCTATTAAATTATGGTTTCTTTTATCTTGATTATTCTTTAAGCAGATTTCTTGGGACATAACAATTTCAATGCCGTCATATTGATCGTCAAAAAGTGCAGCACGTACGTACGTGCGTACATTGATTGGTGTTATTTTGGCATTAAGCCATAACTTTCAAAATTACTTAAACGATATATACAGAGATTTAATGATTCACGTAAATATTAGTAAATATTTTGCAATAATATAAATTTTAAGAGCATCGTAAATCAAAATATGCCGCCGTTGTGAAACTAATTCTATTTAAATCAAAAATTTTATCGAATTAGATTTATTTCAATCTCTAAAGTTATTACTCTTTTTTTTTTTTTACTAATAATACCCGGCTGAATAAATTAATATTGTACGTATCCGAAGTTAATTACTATATTAGGATTATTATAAAAAAATTATTTTTATTGGTTATTTTTTTTTTTGCTGTACACAATGTTTCCAAGCTCGGACCTAGGTTAAAACATGTAATGATTATCAAGATATGAGTGACGAAAATGGAAAGCCTGTAAATAATTTCATATAATAAGTGAAATGATTTACAGGTTTTCCTTTATATTAAATTTATATCCAGAACATTATAATCGCATGATTTAAATCGGCGAAAAAAAAAGATAATACCGGATCAGCGATAGATTCCTACGTAATATTCGGTCTATTCTGATCTGTGAAAATACTTTTATTTGGATTTTAGTAGTAGAAAAAATAGCACTACGTAGCAATATTATGACAATCACAACCAAATCTGACCGAAATTGTTTGATTTCTATTCTAGAATTAATATAAAACAATTTCATGATATTGCTATTTTTGCTACTACTAAAATTCAGTTGCTCTGAATTAGACCTTTTTTATAAATTGATTATTAATACATAAATTTGTGAATTAAAAATCACATGAAACATATAAAATACGGCCGATTTATTTGCCGAATTGAAGACTTGGTTTTAGTATAGTGATTTGGCAATAAGAATTTATATAATGTCTTTTATTAATTGTAATTGAATGATATTACAGGCATGCCTACAAAGTGAAAGAATAACTCACATATAAATATAATACAATATATTTTAATAAGAATATATAACCCTTACGCTGTAAACGTTTCTTATTCCTTTAATAGTGCTTATACTTTAAATATTACTTATCGTAATACATAGAGATAATTCTTTAATTTTCATACAAATAGAATCTCCTAATATTCAATTTATAACGATAATATTATATAAAGATTTAAGTTTCGAAAACACAATTCATTAATCTTTTATTAAAAAATTATTGGTTTTAAATTTTTTAACGGTTCGGTTATTCTTTGCCAACTTTTCATTTTATTAATTATATAATAACTGCTTGAGCTAAAACTCGTGTTCTGTTACAAAATCATAAAGCATTTGCATTTAATTTTTTTCAGGTTATTGTCGTGCTAATGTACTTTTTTTTTCTTTTGTCAATTTTCTTTTCTATATCATTTATTATAAATTTTCAATATTTATTCTGTCACAACATATATATAATTCATTTTGGATCATTATTATTTGAAAAATATTCGAATATAATAATCTTTTTTATTTTTAATTGTCCGGAGCGTAGCGGAGTACGCTCTGTTTTTTACGATCACTACTATCACGTGATGATTTCCGTCCGTGATTATTATTTGATAGTATTGTGTTACCTTTACGTATTATTATCATTATTATCGGACTTACATCCGAATTCCAGTTAGCGTAATTTGCATACATATATATATACTGTATATGTAACCGATCAAAATGAGCTCTTTATTGAGTTTTAAAAATTGTTAATTATTAAACGTAAATAAAGTATTGATCTTATCAAAATTTGTACACGTTTCGAAATCGAAATATACCGTACAGTTTGGACTAAAATACTTTACAATTTAAGCTGTATATAATATGTATATGATAATTGGAGGGATAGTATGGTCAGCGTAGGGGGTATAAGTTGGTGCCACAGTAATATTTCATATAATTCTAAGTGCATCTTTAGTACCCGGGTCTAGACCTCCGAAAATCGTGAGGGGTATTTAGCTCACGCTGTACGGTAATTTTATTTTAAATCAGAAATCTAAGTCTTTTGCTAATTAACAGCAGTATAATTATAGTAGTCTAATTGTAGTATGTAGTATTATATAGTATGTAGTATTATAGTATGTAGTATGTAGTATGTAGTATAATTAAAGTATGTAGTATAATTATACGTATTATTTTTGTTTTTTGTTTTTTCCCCTTTGCATACTTCTTTTTTTCATTTCTTGTTTCATAAAAAAAGTATGCATGGCTCCTTTGAGAGTCATCAACGAGACCTAAATGATTATAACCATTTTCGCCAAGTCCTTCGACTAATTTTTTCAGTAATAATTAAAAGATTTTCCCCTAATGGTACTTCATATATGACTCGTTTCTTCCATTAGAAGGCGGTGTGGAAACTAAAAATTCATTTAAATCCCTCAATAATTCATTGGGTCGAATAATAAATTTTTTGGTACATAATTTGACAAATGCTATAAATATTCCATTATAAATTTATTAAATTCTATTTTAGCGGGATATCATACACTTTCAGTAATTTTGTAAACCTTTCAAGGATAAATAGTAATGCACTAAAAATATTAAATATTAATAATAAATATTTTTAATAAAATGCATAGCAAATTACTTTATTTTAAAATTAATAATTTCTCGAATAAAACAATCTCACCTGAAAGTTAAATTACGATCGCTATTTAGAATCATCTTATTTATGGAACTTCTGAGGGATTTTTAATAATCGTTGGCCTGCTTCTTGCTTGAATTTGATAAATGACACGTCAGTTCTGATAATAATTGTTCAAGTAAATTTTGAGGGATAGCCATTTATTCAAAAACAACAAATCTAATGTGCTTGCTAATTTCTTATACAATTGAATATCAAGTTGAGTGTACGACATCCTTAGTTTATCAATTAGAACATCAACAAGTTGAGGTACATATGAAATAATTAATTCGGGTGAAATTTCTAACTGATTATTCAACAATTCAATGATCCAATGCATGGTTGGTGTTCAGTGTTCATAATTTTAGATATGGCTATTTTCACCAATGATAGTTCATGACTTTTTCCTTTTGAATTTGATTTTTGACCCAACACTTGGGTATCTTTTTCTTTAGATAAAAGGTTGATATTATGGATTGAACAAACTGTTTCATTTGTTCGGTTTACAGTACTTTTATAATATCCATACCCTTTTAACTTGAAATCGTAATCAGTCCTTCTAGCATTAGATCTTGGGCACGATTGTGAAGCTACTCTTACATCTTTCTTATGCTCTTGTAAACTCGTAATATTATGCTTATTACTTTTCAAGCTCGCTATTTCGGTCTGATTTAATATTAGAAAATTTAAATTAAGATTGAAAAAATTGAAAACATTGAAATAAATTATTAATTATAATACTAACGGCCATCGTTTTGCGAGGTGCAAAATTAACACTTGAGAATTCTTCTATATCACCATTTTCATGAATTTTTACAAGTAAATAATTTTATTATTTAAGTTTTACATACACGTATACTATCAACATTTAGAAAATATCCAATGCTAAAATATAAAGTTTCCACATGTTGTCTAAATTTTCAAGAAAAGTAATACGAGATTCCAGATCAGTGACGTGAACAATGATTGTTGTTGAATTTGAATTTGTATAATCCGATGAACAAACATTGTAACTATATTTCAAATTTCAAATGATGAATATTAGAAAAAAAAATTTCAAAAAGCTTCGAAGTAAAAATATAGGAAGAATTTTGACATTATAATAGTACCTTTCATGAGAAGACATCACTTTTAGAAATTTTTAAATTGTATAATTTATTTGATGTTGTTTTTTGATCTTCGGAATAATGCCGAAGTCAAATATAATCAACTGTTTCTTATATTATTCAGAATCCCAACAAATAGCGACATAATTCGGCTGTATGGTCTAGATTCTCGGGTTCTAACTCGAATTCTTCATCCAGATTAAACCCTAATTCCGCTGCATCGTAAAGACACTTAGATTCCAACTCCAGATTATTGGGTTCCAATTCCACTGCTTTTTCCAGATATGTGACAGATTCAGATTCAACTATATTGTCTTGACTTTTTACGGATCATTCAAATATTTCACGAAAGACATGTGTATCAGTATCATCTTCAGAACAATTCAGTGAATAGTTCCTTAGATTTTTTTGTTGGGAACGAAGTTCAAGTTCATTCTCCTTTCGTATTTGTATCTAGATCGTTTCAAAATAATAAATTAATAATTCTAATGAAAATATTAGTGATGTATATGGCTTACCTCTTTTTCTTGTTCAGTGCTAGTTTTTTTCCTCTCATCTTTTAAACAGACACTATCCCATTGTATAGAAAAAGAACACATATGCTCATCAAAAATGCTTAAAAGGCTCATTGTTTTTTCAGCTAAGACATCTTTTTCTGTGACAATTTTTTGTAAAACCTCAAATAAAACTTTTTCCGTATGTTTCTTTTGTAAAAATGTAAATTGAAAATGTTTAAAAAAGTTTCATAACATTAAATTTATTAATTTGATTTAATAAACTGATTCTTACAAATCTATTGATAAAAATAATATAAACAGTACAAACCATCGTAAAGCCTAAAAAAAAAAAATAGGATAAAGGACGAAATATAAAGATTAATAAAGCTGGTAAAATTTTTAGAAAAGATAATATTATATATAAACCTGAAATCTTCGCAAGATAAATATTAGGTCACTACAATAAACATTTTCTGACAAAACCTACGGCTGAATTAAATAACTAGAACCTTATGCCAAGTATACTAGCGTAATTGGTTTTTTAATAACTCATTTAAAATTCGTTTTTATTGATTTGTTTGATTTAAAAAAAAAAACTCTAATCGATTTTCACGTTACACCTGATCTTGCATCCCGATTAGGGGTGCAGGTAGAACTTAAAGCTGTAAACATGGCATCATTTGTCGTAACTTGTTATATCAATATCGTAATTTAGTTATTTTGACTATCAAGTCGAAGGGATGTTATAATTTAATTTGGATGATGGGAAGCTATTATTATTTAAAACCGAATTGTCTTTATTCATATTCATCATAAAAAAAACTTTCGTTAATATAGACAATAAATTTCAAGCTATTTTTATTACATCATTGATTGATATATATTACATCAAAATGATTAATAAATACTATTATAAAATGAACAGAACTGTCAATGTGTTCATATCATTTTTTTATTATTATAACAAATTCAATTTAATTTTACATTATTTATACAGTTTAGAGTACTTTTTAAACCAACCATAATAAAGTAAAAAAAAAAAAAAAGAAACCATATAGAA